TTCAGTGATTAAACAATACGAAACCAAATGGGCCTGATTTTGTGGGGTTTTATTATTTGGGCCGCTCTGGTGAAACACTAAAGGCCCAATATCTATTCATTACCAAAAGCCCATTATTTATTCATTACACAGGAAGCCCATTATCTGCATTCGTTTCCACCCTACTCTCTCGTGTTTTTTTATTTGTTAAACAACGTGATAGGCATTCATATGTAACATAGACCAACAGTGTCTGGCCAAATTGGTCGGAAGTCCGATGCCCGGTTGTCATGAAACGGACCGTCGTCGGAGCTCAGACACCGTGATTCTCACGGGCTCCAACGGCGCAGCCACCAACCGCCACTTCGCCAACTCGATGGGCTTCCTCCGGTTCGAGCCCCTCCACGGCTGCGACGCCCTCCGCAATCTCGCCGACGGCGACTTCAAGGCTATTTTATTCCTTTTTTCCCGTGTTTGTTCTTGTCGGCTTTATGGTTGTTGTCATGTCTCGTCAATTTTATTTTTTTAAATCTATTTATAGAGGTTTTTATGATATGTTGTTGTGGTTGGTGTATTGTAAGGCCAGTTTATGCTTTATTGATACGAGTAATTACGAGTATCTGTTATAATATTTTAGATATTTCTCGGCATGGAATTAGTATATGACGGGAATATAATAACGGTTGTATTTATGTACGTGTGGTCAAGTTAGATAAGATTTTGGTAGGCATTTGGTTGATGTAGTAAAAGGATTAGAGATATATAAAAGATTTTGTCGTTTGTGGCAAAACTGTAACATTGTGTATATCTCCCGAAGTAGCTGCCGCCAAAATCTGATCTTTTCAAACTGATCGCAGAAAATCCTCGTTTTCAATATATGAATAAATAAAAACAACCCCAATTATTTTTATTAAAAAAAAAAGAAATCAAACCCAGAAAATTCGATATCTCTCTGGTCACGTTTATTGAAATCTCATCAGAAGATCATCTTCATCACCCGATCAACGCCCAAGATAGTGTATTTTAAAGAAGAATTTGATGAATGAGTCCCAAAAACGGTAGGGACCATGAGAACGGCGTCAGGTGCGAGAAGAGGAAGAAGGTTATTATTATTATTTTAATTGAATTATTTAATGGGAAGACGATGCGACGTGAAACCCATTCACCAGTTTCTGTAATCGTAGATTTTATAATTTTTATTAAAAGTCTCTTTCATGTCTCCGTAGTCTATTCTTCCGAAGATTTTTGGATCGAGGCGATGCGGTAAAGAGGAGGATGCGTCGCCTATCATGGACAACAGAGGAGACGACGACGCCGTTCTTCACGGTACTTACGTGCATCCCAAGAAACAAACCCTAACGAAATACCTCCTCGCTATTCTCCGTTAATTTCCCACGTTCTCGTTGTTTTTATCATGAATCGATGGTTTCGATGGCTCTGGGATCGTGTTTAGCAGATTTGGAAAGACGAATCACTTCCCGGAAGAAACCCTTCTCCGACAATCCTCCGATGATACGGAAGACTTTCTCAGGTTATCTTTATAGATTCGGTTC